TCATGATTCTTCTTCTTGTGCTCCTTGTCCAGCTCCTCAGATGTTGACGTGTAACTCTGTAAAATGCAATTTTAAGGACAAGGAACTTCTCAATGGAACTGAAGGATGAAAGCAGGCTTTCATGATGCAATGTTTAGCACACGAGCCCGTAAGGGTGTGGTGCAGGTTCGGGTCCTACCTGGGTCAGGTCTTTTGTCCACAACTTCGCATATCTATGGGAATTTCAGTGGGCAATGTCTTCATCAATAAAACTGTCGGGCATACTACAAAAAATCCACAGTGCAGTTATCCCGAGAATGCTGACTTATGGGCAGAAGAGTCAGCCTCTTTCCCATAACGTACGTAGCATTTCTGTGACAATTTCATAGACTTATGGTAAAACTCTGGTGTTGGTGTGGTGATAAGTGGCGGTTACCACGCGCTGTCCGGGTGTCAATCCCGAAACGGTTCTTGCTCGGGTTAAAGGCAGTTGGCACGATGATTTGGTGCTCGGCCTAAAATGCTAGTAGGGCGCTATATAGTGGGGAAATGGCGAAAGAACGGAGTGAAACGGTCAAAATCCTGAAGAAAGAGCCTCCGTTCTCAATGTGTTCAAAATCAATTTTGGACGAGTTTCCCGTAGGCATCTTGCCAATAACCGCTACCGAAGGTACGGCTGCATATGTGTACTCATATATCCATGCAGCATCACGGCCGCTTCATACCAATCCCTTCGCTTCATAATTTGCTTAGCAAATGAATCGATTAGAGCGTCAGGAACGGTCGTCCATTTGTGGGCGGGCGGGCGTGGCGGGCGTTTGGGTTTGTGGCTTGATAGGGCCCTTATAAGGGCACCTCCCTTGGAAAAGGCATTATGCAGCGCCTGCTCAGGGTCGCGAAATTCCGTCCTGCCAGGCGTATTTAGTCTTATCGTCTTGGGGATTTCGTGCCAACTGCCTATGACCAAGATTTCTACTCTTCTCACCTGGTCAATTAGTACCAACTCTTTCTGGGAAGCTAAAGCACTTGTTTATATATCGATTAACTCCCACAAGTCATTTAGGCCATATTGTAATCAGTAGCACAACCACTTTGTTCTTTGTTCTAATAACGATTGAAAGAGGAATGAATATGAAGAACCTGGAAGTCACGCGGAAGAAAAACCGAATAATTTACCTCGACCATAGTGCGGGAATGTTGAAGTTCCTCCGTGAGCTGGACGTTTTCATGACGTAACGCTTCGAGTTTTTTATTGTACTCGGCAATAAGTCGTGTGGAGTGCTAAAAAATCGACAGAATTGAATTGAAAAAGAATCGAAAAAGGAACAGAGAACTATGAAGATTCTCGAAGGAAAAAGACTTTATAATCACCTCTCGCATCTGATCAATTTGTTGACGTAACGAAGACGAGTCTTCCAATGGGACTCGTGGTTTGCTGTCATTCTGCTGAAACTGACATTAAAAAGGTAGAAATAACATTCAGTACTGTAAACTGTGACTAAAAATGAGTAGATTGGCGATGCAGCTCTATTGTGACCTGTTGCGTCGATTTCGCCCGCAACGATTAACCAATTGCTCTCACCTCAAGGGTTTACTCGAGAACGCGACACGGCCTTCCAAAAAGGAAAGAGGCTTAATAACTGCGTACTATATAATGGTAAGAAACTGGGAACATCTGATTCAAAAGGAGGCGCGTGTAGGGTAGGCACAGTTCAGACTTGTGACGGCAGCGCTCCGGTCGCGCGTTCGACGCGATCGATGCGCATGCTTTCTGCATCGATCGCGTCGAACGCGCGACTGAAGCGCTGCCGTCGCGAAGTCTGAACGCTGCCGTAGATACGTTCGAAGAGCAGTATCCCGCTAACGGGCTGGCAGGTGAAGTTAGAGGCAGCCTACTGTACATTTCCGGATAGATAAAATGTACGCCTGGCGGACTAGTATACGTCGGTTCATCTATCCGAGGTCGCATAATCGGTACTGAACACATCTATCAATATAAAACATTAACTTTACATCGACTAAGGTGATACCACTGTAGCTGGCGTCTCAGGGCACCTGTCAACCGGGAAGCCTCTCCTCTCTTTCCCTTTTTCTTCCTCCTTCCCTTTTCCTTCCTTCCTTCTCTGATCCCTCCTCCTTTACCTTCTCCCTCAACTACTGGACTGGTAGATGCCTCGTGAAAATACCCCTGGACCCTCGCAGCGAGAGAGCACGTCTGGTTGACAAGAGCCCGTAACCCTGTAGCTGGGGCTGAAACACACGACAACGACTCTGCGTCTCTTCTCCGACCAAGGCTTAGGCTTAAAGCGCAGACAGCCAGGGTCGTGAGGGCAGAAACTCTTTATACGACCCTGGTCCTCTGCGCTCTAAGCTTACGCCTTCGCTAGGATACGGAAGAGACGCAGAGAGGCTACAGCATGGCTCGGTTCAAATAGTTTAGCACGGAGCTAGCTCTCTAGCAAATCGTTGCTATTGAGGCCGAATCACATTACAAATGTCATCACGACTCTGAACAAAAATGAAAGAAAAACGAGTAGCAAGACCCAAAGTATTGAATGACGCCCGGAGCCTATAGTGTAGTTCGCTGCGGACGGTTGGGCGTGTCAGTGCGGCTGCGTTTGGCGCGGTGCCAAACTCGTTCTCCACCAGTTGTTGAAGCGGGCAAGTGACAATACTGTATCATATCGTTCGTATTACTCGTTTTCTACCACTTTTTGTCGCATGCGCGCTTCAACAAGAAGGCAGAGAACGGCTTTGACGGGTGACACACTCATACTGCCTGACACGCCCAACCGTCCGCAGCGAACTAGAGTGTACACTCAAGTTCACTGCGGACGGTTGGGCGTGTCAGCCAGTATGAGTGTGTCACCCCGTCTGAGCCGTTCTCTGCCTTCTTGTTGAAAAGCGCATGCGACAAAAAGTGGTAGAAAACGAGTAATACGAAGGATATGATACAGTCACTTGCCCGCTTCAACAACTGGTGGAGAACGAGTTTGGCACCGCGCCAAACGCAGCCGCACTGACACGCCCAACCGTCCGCAGCGAACTACACTATATGCTTTTGTGAATAAAAAGTTTCAGTAAGCTCGCAAAAGTGCTTTGAATAACTCAAATGCGATTTTCACCACCACCTTTCAATGAGATTCGATTGCAACAGTGCCCTACATATGCACCGTTAACACAAAGTTTATTTTTAACATGGAACATCTATTCAAAACGTAATTCAAAATGGACGTACCGTAATTAGATCACTAGCATCCACATTCTCATTGATGGATTTCCTCAATGGCGTTTTCTTCTTGCCCATTTCTGAAGCGTTATCAGCGGAACAATTGGGGTCGAGAGAGTCTAGAATGATCGAATTTGGAATAGATCAAATGAATCGATCAACAGACCGCACAATCATCATAACGCTAATCGAATGCCACGAAACTGAGGTGGTGGAACAAAGATTGATAAGGGATAAGCACAGTGATATCATACCTGTGGGATATACCCGAGCCCTTTCAAAGCTCCAGTGATGAATAAGGGAGGGGTAATCGTGACATTCTGTTGTGCAGGACTTTATCAGAGTCAGCCCACTGGTAGCAGTTATCAGGTTGTGACACTAACAAGTAGAAACGTGTATGAACTTGTCAGTTTTTTACTATCATGTCAAAACTTGACAACATTCACCTGACTGGTGACTTCTTCAAATAGCCGCCGCATCACTGATGACAACCATCAAGTGGCTATATAATACGGTCCAGTGCGGATGAAGGGGCGTGTCCGACGGGGTAAGTTTGGAGTGGCGCCAAGCCCGTTTTCCACCATCAAGAAGCGGGCAGGCGACAACAGTTGGTTTTACACGACTGATACGAACGATATGATAGAGCCTAGGGTGCTAACGTAGTTGGGAGGGGCCACGCGGCTCGCGGCGAGTGATGACTCATCGGCTCTTCACTCATCGGCATACTTGAAACGCGAATCTAGCAGCCAAATCAGAATAAAACAAACAAGATTCACCGGGAACTTGCTGAAGAATTCCACAGAAGCTAAAAATTTGATTTTTTGTAGTCAACAATAACAGTCAACGACAAACATGCAACAAAATTTGTAGTTTAGGCAAGAACCTTGCAGCCTAAAACTGTTTCTTTGCACTTTTCAGTGTTAACTGTTTTAACTTTTGAATATAGCTAGGGCGAAGTTATATTCATGTCCTAAACACGAAATTCTATTTTGCCGAGGAGGGAGCAGAAGAGCAGATGAGTCATCGCTCGCCGCGAGCCGCGTGGCCCCTCCCATCTACGTTGGGCAGCGTTCATACTTCGCAACACCAGCGGCGATCGGCGGAACCACATGAATAAAAGTAGAGACACAACTTCATGACATGATAGCGAATTCCTCGTCCTTTTGATACACAAATTCAAACGACCAGGTGGGGAGAAGTTGTCCGTTGGGCATGGCGCTGCTGGCCATCAGCGCAACGTATTACGATTGTCTTGACACGTACAGTCGTCATCCGAGCACTTGATTAGGCGGTCAAAGGTCGCGACGCAGCTGCGGCGCGTCATGTCCGCGGCGAACAGATGTTTCCAGCCTAATTTGGCCATTTTTCCCTAATTTGCACTGTTTTGGCTGCTTTTCTCGAGATTAGTTATTCCTTGTCTTCACAAGGTATACTCGAAATCCCTGAGATCGGGTAGGCGTGGCTGCATGCTTCAACTTAACCTGAAGGTGTCTATGCTTCTGGTGGAATATCTTGACACAACTGTTGTCGTGTCTCTGTCCAAC